GTTCTCCAAATACCATGCTAATCATCTCCTGCTCATTGAAATAGCAACTCTCCCCACAGATCTCTTAAATATATAAAGATTTTATGTTATGCAAGTTTGTTCTATTGCCTTATTCCAATCTATTTAAATGTAGTCTAGAATGCTGTATAATGGAATAAAGTATAATAAATAGATGATTAAATGACTTAAAATATAGTTATGGTGGATTTTTCTGTAAAACAGTTGTTTATGAGCAAAACTCTTATGACAGTTTGTGGGAGTGGCTACATTCGAGCTAACTCATGTTGTATCACAGACATCTCTCCCCTCCGCAGGGGGAGGGGGTGGGTACCCGGGTTCAGTGGGCCCAATGAGGAAACGGAGGGCAAAGACTTCTGCTTGCAGGGGATTCGTGCTCCAGCCGAGCCGCCTCCTTTGGACTGAGGCTGGGACTGGGGGCGCGGGGAGGTCAGCCGCCAGGACGCAGGGGACGCCGAGGCCTCGGCCGCTGGGACCAGGAGGGAAACTGCAGCCCCGAGGCTGCGGCCCGAGTGCGGGAGCGGCCCTGCGCCGCGGGTCAAGCTCGCCCGCGGCCATCTCTTGAGTCCAAAGGGTTAATTTCCATTTTTCGGGTGGGCCCTCGGCTGATTGATTACATTATTGGACCAGAGTGGAGGACGCCAATCAATTATCTTCAACCAATAAACAGGTGTGTGACCTACTCTAGCCAATCAGTGTTAAACCGCTGCGTCCGCCCAACTACGATTGAGCCAATGGGCAGCTGTCGCTCTCGGCCAATTTCCAGGAACCCTCAGCCTCACTATCCAACCAGTTGTAGGGTTGGTACTCAGCCAGCCAATCAGCTCCGGGATCGAAAAAACTGCACCTTGAGTGGTGGTGGCGGCGGTGGGGGGAGTGGGGGGAGGGGGGCCCTCCGCGCAGGCGGACCAGTGGGCGGAGCCGGGCAGGGGGTGCGTCTAGTGGCTGCAGTCCTGTCCTTTGTCCCAGGTCCCTTCACTCCAAAGCGCAGTGCCACTTCCCAGCGCCAGATCTCGGCGAATTTCTCAGCCCTTGGCAGGGCTAAAAGCCCCGGGTTGGGGATCCCCCCCCCCATTGGGTTTACCCGGACCCCAGTCTGGAAGAGGGGAGAGGAAATTGGGGGCGGGGAGGGGGTGTCCAGCCAGGGTGGTGTGGAATCAAGACTGGACGTGACTCAAATCCTGCTACCACTGAGCAGTTCTGAGACTTTGGCCAAGTGGCTCCACTCTCTGCGTCCCCGTGGGGATAATAATAATTCCACTTAAAGTTTAAGGATCAGGGCTTGACAGACAGTAAGAGGATAAATGTGACTTATTATTATTCTCTTTTTGTCCAGCCCAAGCCTCCTTTTGGAGTCCCCCCCGAACCCCCAACGCGGGTCCAGCCACCAATCATCGCCCTGCTCCCTAAAGTCTAGCTTCAGTTTACTCCTCCATGTCCTTGCACACTTTCCCTTCAACTATCTTCCAAAACCTAGGACCCATTGCTATCACCTTGGGCCTCAGGCCTCCATACTAACCCCCAATACTGTCCATTTTCCACCCTGGCCTCAGAGGGATCTTTCTAAAATGAAACGATGGTCACCTCCCGTCCCAGCTCTAAATCCTTCAAATGACTCCCCATTGCCTTTGATAAATAAAATTAAAACTAACTGCTACGACTTTATTAACCACTTATGGCACCCTTTATGGCAGTCTTGTTATCAACTTTATTAGACGATTCAAGATGAATCGATGGCCCAGGGTCACAGAGCTCTCCAGCGGATTCCAAAGGCTATTCTTTGCTATGTGTATAAAGTCCAAGCAGCCTCACCCTATAACTATTAAGGACACTGACTGTGCAATTTAAAACACTCAAAAAAGAAATTTCCAGCCCTGGCCAGGTTGCTCAGTTGGTTAGAGCTTCATTCCAATGTGCCAAGGTTGCAGGTTCAATCCCCGGTCAGGGCACATACAAGAAGCAACTGGTGAACAACAAATCTCTCTCTCTACAAATCTCTCTCTCTCTCTCTCTCTCTCTCTCTCTCTCTCTCTCTCTCTCTCTCAAAATCAATAAAAAAAATTCTTTTAAATCTCCGGGTCCAGATAATTTTTCTACCAAAGGTTCAAAGAAGAATCAACACCACTTTTATATGACCTCTTCCAGAAAACTGAAGGAGGGAACACTTCACTTCCCAATTCATTAGATGAAACCAGCATCATTACCAGGATACCAAAACCAGGTAAGGATGGCCCAAAGACAGAACACTACAGACCATATCCTTCATGAACAGGGACAGAAAAATCCTTAGCAAAGTATTAGGAAATAGAATTCAGTAACATGTAAAAAGAATCATGCACCATGTCCATGTGGTGCTTATTCCAGGGAAGCAAGGTAGGATCAGTATTCAAAAAGAAATGTTATCCATCATCTTTAACAGGCTGTGGTGGGCAGAATAATGGTTCCCTAAAGATGTCCCTCTCCCAGTCCCTAGAATCTGTGAATATGTGAGGTTACATGGCAAAGGGAATTTGAGGTTGCAGATGGAATTACAGTTGATCAGCTGACTTTAAAATAGGGAAGTTTTCCCATTGTAATCACAAGGGTCCTTAAAAGTGGAAGAGAGAGTCAGGAACAGGAGACAGTGGAAGAAGTTAGGAATGATCAGATGAAGTGAGGATTTTACCTGCGTTGCTGGCTTTGTAGAGGAGAAAGGGGAGCATGAGCCAAGGAATGGCTGGAAGCTGGAAAAGGCAAGGGAAACATTCATCCTTTCGGCCTCCAACAAGGAATGTAGCCCCGCCAATACCTTGATTTTAGCTTCGGGAGATCCATGTAGGATTTCCAATTAAATGTGAGATAATACAGTTGTGTTGCTTTAAGCCCCTAAGTGTGCTGTAAACTGTCACAGCAGCCATAGGAAACAAATGCAATGGCTGAAGAAGAAAAGTTGCACAATCATAGCAACAGATGCAGAAAAAGCACTTAATGAAATTCTACCCCAACTTATAATAAAAACTCTTAGCAAACTAGGACAAAGGGAGACCACCTCAACTTAGTGGAGAACATCTACAAACTTCAATTAACATTGTACTTAATGGTTAAAGACGAAATGCTTTCCCCTTAAGAATGAAAACATGTAATAACTTAATCAATAAAAAAAATTAAAAAAAATAAAGAACAGTGCCTGGAATGTGGAAAGCATCGGTGAACTTCAAAGTTTGTAAATTCAACCAACGTTTATTGAGTTTCTATTATGCATCAGGCACTGTGCTGAGCATTGTGAATACAAAAGGTGAGAAAGGAAGAGGAAAAAAATGAATGTTTACTGAGTGTCTGAATAAATCACTATGGCAGGTGCTTAGCATCCAATATCTTATGTTCACTTAGTAACAAAACAAAACAAACAAACAAAAAAAGAACAAAACATGTCGCCCTAGCTGGTTTGGTTCAGTGGATAGAGCGTCGGCCTGCGCCTGAAGGATCCCAGGTTCGATTCAGGTCAAGGGCACATGCCAGGGTTGCAGGCTCAGTCCCCAGTAGGGGTCGGGCAGAAAGCAGCCAATCAATGATTCTCTCTCATGATTGATGTTTCTATCTTTCCCTTCCTCTCTGAAATTAATTTTAAAAATTAAAAAAAAAGAATGGAAAGATGTCCAATGTCATCATTTTTTTTCAACATAGTACTGAAAGTTCTAGCCAGTACAATAAGGCAGAAAATGGAAATAAAAGCAGTACAGGTTAGAAAGGAAGAAATAAAAATTAGCCTAATTTGCAGATGACATGATGATACAATGTACAAAATCCCAAGAACTCTACAACAAATGCCTCTCAATTAATAAATGAGCAAGTTCAGCAAGGTTGTAGGATACAAGATCAACACACAAAAATCAACTGCATGTCTGTATACTCGCAATGAATATGTGAAAATTGGAATTAAAAATTCGAAGGACAGGCCCTAGCCAAGTAGCTCAGTTGGTTAGAACATTGTCCCAATACGCCAAGGCTGTGGGTTTGATCCCCAGTGAGGGCACATACAAGAATCAACTAATGAATGCATAAATGAGTGGAACAATAGATCTATGTTTCTTTCTCTCTCCCTCGTTCCTCTCTCTCTTAAAAAAAAAAAAAATACAGGGATCGTGCTCTGGCCAGAATGCTAAGTGGTTACTGCATCAACCGTGCACTTGAAGGGTGGCAAGTTCGATTTCTGGTCAAGGGCACGTTTCTGGGTTGCAGGTTCAATCCCTGGCCCCCACTGGGTTGCATGCAGGGGGCAACCAATTGATGTCTCTCTCTCTCTCTCTCTCTCTCTCTCTCTCTCTCTCACATTGATGCTTCTCTCTCTCTCTCTCTCTCTCTCTCTCGCCTTCTCTCTCTCTCTCCCTCCCCCCTCCCTCCCTTCCACTCTCTCTAAAAATCAATGGAAAAATGGGTAAAGGATTAACCAAAAATAAAAAATACACGGCTCAAAAAAAAAGTTTTCTGGGGGGCTGTAAATAGGTACAGGACTTGTATGCTGAAAACTACACAGGTGATGAAAGAATCAAAGATTTAAATAAATGAAGAGGCTGACCATGCCCATGGACTAGAAGTCTCGCCATAATAAAGATGCCTTGTCTCCACCAACTGGTGTACAAGTTTAGTGCAATTCCGGTCAGAAACCCAGCAAGATCTGGGGCTAGATCTAGGCACGATCCTTCTAAGGTCCAGTCAGCCTAACGGGCACTTCAGGCCTTCGTGTTCCCGTTGTCAACTCTCTCGTTACATCCCCTAACCAACTGGGCACCACACTCCCTCCTTCCTTTCTCACTTCCAGGCCTTTGCTGAAGCAGGTCCCTCCTCCTGGTGTGCAGTCACCCAGTCTCTGCTCCACACGGAAACCCTCCCGTGGCTTCCTCCCCGTCCCATGAGTCCAGCACGGCCTCCCTGCTCTCTGACCCCTGGGAGAGACCGAGACCGGAGAGTCCGGGATTTCCCTAGGATCATTGGACCTGCCCAGGCCCGCCCCGCCCTGCCCAGCACTGGCAGGGGAGGGAACCCGGGAGCTGACAGAAGAGAGGAAATTCCCTTGGAACCTGTTCCTCTGCTTCCTGGCCCCGCTTGTGCGCTGGAGGGAAGGCCAGGCCAGAGGCCCAGCCTGCCATGGCCTCGGCCCTGGGCCCACCCCGGGCCCCCAAGCCCAAGTGCGCCCTGCCCTCACACTACCATGAGAGCTTTCTGGAGAAGAAGGGACCCCGGTGACAGGGGTAAGGTGGGGGCAGGGGAAGCTGGGCCCTGCTGGGCTGCCTGGCAAGTGAGGCACCTCTCTGAGCCTCCGTCTGATCTTGCCAACCTGGCCCAAGGAGGGCGGGGTGGGTGCTGGATGGGGCAAGGGCAGGGGCTGGCGGCTTAGGAAGGGTTCTGTCCATCTGTCCGTCTGTCTGTCTCTCTTGACTCTTATTTTGATCTCTTTCTCTTTTCTCTTTGTCTCTCCCCAGCCTGTCTCCGTCTTGTGTCTTCTCTTGGGTCTCAGTCGCTGTTTCTGTCTTGTCAGATTTACAAAACAGGATCAAGGACTTCCTTCAAGGGAATTGAAGGAATTAAATTAAATTGGGTTTCCCCTTTTCCCC